CAAGATTACTGTGTTTGCACAGGATGAGGCCTGTGGGGGCTAGCCAGAAACAGCTCATTGGCTGTCCGGCTACTAGCGCCATGACCAGCCCAGATATTTTGGGGAGGAAGAACGTGTGCGTTCAGACCTCCCGCACTGTTCTTGGCGGCCTGACAGAAAGGGGCTTGTCTGTTGTGTACGTTTCTATAAATATCTGACTTTGTGGGAACAGAGTATTAGACTAAGTAGGCCTCTGTTATGATGCAGTACAGCTCTTCTTACGTGCTTCACGTATAAGGGAAGTGTGTACGTCGGTTCCAGCATTACTCTTGACACCAAATCCTGCTTAGTATAGAAGCTGATGTCAATGTTACTGAGCAACCACGTTGACTCCACCAACACTTTAGTAGAATGAAATGATGGGATAGACTAATCAAAGTTTTAGACTATGCTACCTCCCCCGCCCCCAAATAATAATGACAACATGGGAGGTCAAACACTCTTCACCTTAATACGCAAGGCTACAGAGCCTGCAAGGGCCTATTCTCCTAGCATTGTCCCCATTTTCAACTTTCCATAAAAATGTGTGCAGGAATCTATAAAATAAAATGGGTTAATAATATCCCATTGCCCAGTACATAAATCATCTCCCAGCATTTGGGCAAATGAGTGCAAAGTCATAGGAAGAATTGTTATATGCAGTTGTAATATTTAATATGCAGTTGAATTAAATATTAATAAAGTAAAATTTAAATAACTTTGATCATATTTGTTTTAACGATCCGTATCTTGTCTTTCAGCAGAAAAGCTCCCATAGTAGCTATTAAGTTTCCCAATATTGAAATTATGGTTGCTTTGCATAGAACTTCCCCCTTCCTTCTGGTATACCTTTAGGCACCAGATTTATGTCTACACATCACTATCCTAGGCTTTTTTTAAATATATAGCAGGGATGTATATAGATATCTCAAGGTTTCCTGAGATCCCAAAAGCCTTCAGTGTAGTGCCCAGAAATAAGCTGGAGATTATTTTGTTTTGAACCTTCAAACTTGTCATGGAAAATGGTTCAGTACATTGAACATTGACAAAAAACTGTCTCTAGAAAATGATCCCACATCTGTAAGCAGAAAATGGCCCAATCCAGAGATTATTCTCAGCATTCTTCCTTGAGAACCAGAGCTGACACCACTGCCCATCACTCTATGACTGTGTTCCAGATCAAGGGGTGGAGAAGTCATGAAGATTAATGGACGAATGGAAAGAAGTGATGGCATGCAGCATCTTGATAAGGTCAGCTCAGCAATGTTGTTGTATAACTTGCAAAAGCAATTCAGAGTATCCGGCATTTGATCTCCAAGCTCTCCTCTTCAGGATTAAGAACGTATAGCATAAATGAAAGGCCAGAACCAGTTGCCTTGATACAATAAACACCTGGGGGTAGAGGAGGGCTAGAGATGGCCTCTTTGCTCTCACTGACAAGCCTAGAAATACTGTTTTATGGAGCAATATGTTTTTCTGGTAGTGTTGGGGGGTGTCAGCCTTCAAAGTAGACCAGACTAGGAAACCGAAGGCATACAGGCCAATATTGCTTTTATTATAAAGCTATGGCAACAGAACCTTGCAGGTCTGAAGGCACTTCCCCCTTTCCTCCCTTTATCTTTGCAAGAACTAGGGAGGGTCCTGAGACAGTTTTTCAGGTTACAGTTTTGCCCCATACTCTGACCATTGTCTTGGTAGTGGCTCTTCTTCCTGTCTCTCAAAGTTATTCCCTCTATCTACTACATCAATGAAGGCAGCAATGTGATGGCTTTGTTTTGTGTGTCCCTGGCTGCTCAAGAAAGAGCCGTTGCAACAGCACAAATTGCAACTGCAGATTCTCACCAGGTAGAGGTACTAGCTCGTGCTGTCTGTTGCCCTTTGCATTGCAACCTGTAAGTTCATAGAACCCATCAAGGTCATCTGGAGGTGTTGTAAGAGCCTAAGATGATCTGAATATGACTGGGCCTTCACTGTGCTTTGAGCTGAGTTGCAAGGATCCTTAGTGTGAACACAACCAAGTGTAGGGACAGTTGCACACAACCTCTCTGAGTACATTCCATTTTTGTTGTTTGTTCTCATTTTTAAATTTTTTTTTACAATAATTCCATTTTGTGTATGTTGCATTTTAGGGTTTATGCTGGTCTATGACTGTAATAAAGATTTGATTTTAGGTTGTTCACCTTTATCCACCCCATAACTATTTTTAGTTCCCCAGCTAATGTCCCTACATAATGATGACACTGCTGGTATGAGTGTGTGCGTATGTATGTATATGTGTGTGTGTGTGTAAACAAAACATATATGGCTGCCTAATTCATTTAATGACCCTAGGCAACTCCAGGTTTCAAATTCTCAACAGTTTCATTGGCAGGCCCATAAAAGCAGAGTTGCAGAGGTCTTTTGGGAATCCATCCCTTCATCAAGCATACCATGCTTTTAGTGATCATAGGACAATTGTCTATTACTAGGAGTGAGTGACTGTGACAAGATGATATTCAGGTTGGTTACTGCCGCCCACTTTTGTGTTCATTCAAACCTTCAAGAGAGTTCAGTTGAATGGATATACATCTAAAGGGTATATATTCTGCTGTGCCTCAAACTGAATATAGTTCTCGGCCTCACATAATTCTGTAATGGAGATACAACAATGCCCTTCAAAATAAACCATTTCAATTTATTATCAGTTTTGTGCGAGAGTACGACGTGCAAGAACAAAGTGTCAAGAACAGATGGCGAGAATATGCAGAAGATCTATGTGCCAGCAGCAAAGAGGCCCAGCCTCCTCAGGATGATGGGGAAAAGGAAGCAGAAATAGAACCAGCCATCCTTCAGGAAGAAGTTGTGTAGGCAATGAGCCAATTGCCAAATAACAAGGCCCCAGGTGTTGATACCATCCCCACAGAATTGCTGGGGCCTGTACCACCCACAACCGTCAGAGCCTTGTGCCAGAAAGTTTGGGAGATGAACATATGGCCAGAGGATTGGAAATGATCAGTGTTCATTCCATCGCCAAAAAAAGGGCGACTCCAAGGACTGCTCCAATTATTCCACAATTGCTCTCATCCCTCATGCTAGCAAGATTCTCCTTAAGATCATACAACAATGTCTGGCACTGACCATCAAAAGGGAGTTACCAGATGTTCAAGCTGGCTTCAGAAGGCGTCATGGCACTCATGAACATATTGTAAATCTAAGCTGGATTGTGGAAAAATCTCAAGAATATCAAAAGAACATCTACATCTGCTTTATTGACTACAAGAAAGCCTTTGATTGTGTCGATCATGACAAGCTGTGGAGAGCCCTAGAAGACCTGGGGGTGCCAACACATGTGGTCAATTTGTTGCAGTCACTGCACACAAATCAGGAAGCCACTGTCAGAACACCTTATGGAGACACTGATTCAAGATAGAGAAAGGAGTGTGGCAAGGTTGCATTCTTTCACCTTTCTTATTCAACCTGTACACCAAAGTGATCATGAGGAAGCTGGAACTTGAAGAATCAACAATCGGAGTAAAGATTGGAGGAAGGAATATCAGCAATCTTCGATATGCTGACAACACAACTCTCCTTTCAGAAACCAAAGAAGGCCTGAAACAGCTGATCAAAAGGATTAAAGAAGAACGGAGAAATTTGGCCTCTTCTTGGACATCAAAAAGACCAAGCTCATGACCACTGCGAGGAATAGAAATGTCAAAATAGCAACTGATGGTGAAGAGATTGAATGCATGCACAAATTCATTTTCCTAGGATCGCAGATTGATCAAAGCAGTGAATGCAGTCCAGAAATAAAGCATCGAATCGCGGTAGGTCACACAGCAATGATGAGCATGAATCGAATATGGAAAAGCAAGAACATCAGCCTGGCAACTAAATGCAGATTAGTCCACACTGTCGTGTTTCCCATAGCTATCTGTGCTTACAAAAGTTGAACCATGAAAAAACTAGGCAGGAGGAAAATGGACGTGTTCGAGCTGTGGTGTTGGAGAAGGCTCCTGTGCATTCCATGGACAGCAAAGGTGACAAGCAGGTTCTGGAGTGTATAAAACCAGACATATTGCTGGAAGGCAAAATCACAAAATTCCACCTTACTTATTTCAACCATGTCATGTGATCAAACTCACTGGAAAAGGCAGTTATGCTCGGAATGGTCACCGTTAAAAAGGAAAGCAAGCCACTGTCAAAGCCGACACTAACCAGAGCATAAAACAACTGAAAGAAGCCATACAAGACTGGAAATTGTGGAGAGAGCTGGTCCATAGAATTGCTGAGAATCGGACAGGATTGAATGGATAGGATCACCATCATCATGATGTGCAAGCACATAATGTAAGAATTAAAATTAAGGATCTGATGTAGTACAGTTACTTTTAGGCCAACCCAAATCATATACTCACATGTCCAGGAGAGTCGTGGATATGAGGGAAGTAGATCTTGTCCTCCCCAAATAACCATTTTGGGCAAAACGAGTAAAGGTTCATCCAATGGCTACTGATCCTGTGTTGTTGGGGTTTTTTTGGAAACAATATAGAAGTTGCTTGCCATTGACTTTTTCTGGGATATTTTTGGACCTCTTAGTCTAGTATCTTTCCCAGGAATTTCTGTTGGTTTCCTACTGAATTCCTAACCAACTCTAACTATATTTTTCAGGATCAGCCAGTGTCGGCCATGTGTTCCGACCTCCTGGGTCTTGGCCAAAATTGGCTGAAACAAATAAGAAACCTGCAGCCCACACAAGGTTTTGGGCAGTCCCCAAGTCAAACAAGACATATCCAGGAGACTCAACCTGATGTGATAGAAAAAGCATTTTGTATATGTAGGACATTGCTAATTACAGCATTACAGGCCCTAAACAAGTTAATTAGGTAAAATAGGTTTAAAAACCCCAAACAAACAGAGAAAAGGCACACGTTCTCATTTAACAACTAATTGATTTATTTAACAATACAAATTTATTTCTACTGCTTGGTGTAAGCAGAGAAAAACTGAGAAACAAAATTAAGTTCTTTTTAAGTTTAAATGTATACACAACCCCCCCCCTCTTACTTCAGTAAATATAAAATTTACAGACAGAAAAAGCAACATGAAAAGGAACAAGGTGTTGACAATTTGATGACAGGAAGGAAATTTTAGAATCAATAATAAAATCTTAGTAAAGAAGGTAACAGGGGCAATATTGAGAAGGCATCCCATTTATATTTCAAATTTTCTGCAATCTGAAACTTTAGTGCATTAAAAAACAAGAACATGATGTTAATTATACTATATATTATGTGATATAAATATCTGAAAGCTTTGCAGGTCCCATATTGAATGTGTGAAACATACATTTTGCCACTTTTTGTAAATTTATGGGACGTGCAATATACCAATGCATTTTACCTTTCAATAGGAACTAGCAAGATCTTTGGAGTCTCTCCCTGCAGCCTACTTGCCAGGAAACTGTCATACTTTCTTCTCCTAACTTATAAGACAAATGTACCAAGCACATGTGCCCCGTAAACTCCACTCATTTCAGTGGGAATTCTGAAGATCCCCTAAAATTAAAGGAGGATGACTAGCAAAGGTGCCCTATATTCCGTACCCTAACATTTTCCCACATATACCTTCTGTTCTCTCCTTACAAGACTAGCTGTAGGCACTGTTCTCACAGAGGTGTTAAAGGTGAACTGAGTTTATGCTGTAGACATCAGTTGGGAATCATGACTGAATGCTTCTCCATGCAAGAAAGTTCATCCACACGCACAGAGGGCCCAGGGCCCAGAAATCAAGAATGTTGGCGATAATGCTAGGCTGGAATGTTGTCTTTTGGTGTTGAACTTTCTGGTGGAAGAAGCTGTTTTGGGAGTGGGGCAGTGGGTAGAGTAGCCCCCTTCTAAAATTTGAGGCAGGACAGCCCAGAAATACCTTTGTCACTTCCATGAAAACTAGCCTATAACAACAAACAAGATATAGGTCAAATGGATTGCCTCTACCAATTGCCTACTAAGGAGATTGTTGCACTGAACAGGCATTCTGTTTCCTGGGTTTGTTTGAAATAGGACCTGAGCTGTTAATAATCCCTTAACATTCCAAGTGAAAATGGCTTTGGGGTGGGAGATAGAGTAGTTTGTCATTTGAGCTGTATTCCAGAACACGCAGGTATGTCTCAAATGCCATTGCTCTAGGTGTCATATTCGGAAGCCATCGGTCTTACAGACAAACCTCACATACCTTGAAGCCTCTGTAATTTGTTAACCCTGCATGATAAAAATGCTGAACTCCAACCACAACTATACAAAAAGTACACAACTGTTTGACAGAAGTGCTTCAACAGCCCCCCACCACATGCACAATAGTTTTGTTGAGTTTGAACCTAGAAGTCTGCAAAATAAATAATAAGGAATATCTGCAACATAAACACAAATTATCTTTCTGGGTGAATGGCTTGCACTGTTTGGCTGTTTTGACTACATAAATAAAGGCCTATGTTGGTCATGTAATGAAGAAAGGAATGTTAATATTTAACATGTGCTGTGGACTAAGCTATCCACGTGATGCACACATCCCTATTTTGCCTGGCGGGTCAGCCAATCAACTCTGGCAGTGAGCAGACTGTGATGAAAATCTCATTGCAAATGTAATGTTTCCATCAAGTTTTCATAACCAACAAGTATGCAGTCTATCTATCAATCATCTATCTATCTATCTATCTATCTATCTATCTATCTATCTATCTATCTATCTATCTATCTGTGATATTATGTGCAGTCCTCACTCAGGCCCCTGAACATTATGCAAGAATATTTGGAGGTCCCATTCATTTCACATGGAAAGACCGAGAAAGGCCTTCTTCATATCTTGTGTTCAAAGTTACCAGTTAATTAAACCTGTGTTTTATATATAAAACGTATGTTTTCTCTCAGTTGTGTTTCCCCTTAAAAAATTATTTAGTTCCAGATTAATATTTAATTTATTTATATACTGCTGCCAACATTGAGAAAAACACTCTCTTGAAGTATTATGACACTGTTTATGACACGCAGAGAAGTGAATAAGCAAATCATGCAATTGTGCTGCTTTGGAAGACAGGTTTAACATAATTCAGAAATTTAAACTTACATCTAAAGCACTGGGGCGGTGGATATCTCCTACAAATTAGAAAAGATTGGCAAGATCCAAAATTAGCTCACAGGTTTGAGAACATCTTCAATTTTATGTTACAAAAGCTGACTTATTTATGGTAAATGACAGAGGTGGGTGGGAGACTGTGTGAAATCCAATAGGAATTGTGGCAATTTGCTCATTTATTCTGGAGGAGCCATAAAATAGCAAGATTCCCCTGCCCACCGTCAACTATACTCACAGTGGCTTTATCAGCTGTGCCCTCACTGGCCAAGAATCAATTGACTAATTAAGAATAAACTGACAGTAGAGCACATGTCAAGTTTCCACCAGCTGCTTGGTATCAAAGAGAGAGAAGAATTGTATCACAGTCCTTAACTTCTTCAGGTTCTAATCAGATGCAGAAGTGCGGAAAAGGCTCCGAAATGTTTGTTCCGGCAATTGGAGATGAACAGCTTATCAGGTTGTTACAAGTCATCAGGTTGCTACACTTGGCAAATTGTGGTCTGCACTATTTGCCCACTGTGTCAAAATCTTTTGCGCTGCAACGGAGAACAATTAAGCATCAGTTGCGGCTCAATAATTCTGTTTTTCCTTCAAGGAAAAATGGGGGTCAATCTACACATGAGACTAAATGTGTTGCCTGCAGTTGTGTCTTATTTTTTTCAAATGGCAAATAGTGGTTTGGGAGATTGCAGAGCCTGCGGGAGGAGTGACTTAATATTGCCTTTCACTGTGGTCCTAAAGGAAAATGTATCCCTCTCCCCAAACTATAATAGCAACTATGAATGTTGTGTGGGGAGCTGAAGTTCCTCAAGACTATCAGGAACGTTTTTCTTTTAAATCAGGAATGGAGTGAGGGAGGACAAGGTTAATGGAGCTTCATGCTGTGGCCCTAACTCTGGCTGGCCCTTACCACATCCTTGCACTTTATCATTTTATAGATTTAGCTGAAACATTCATCTCTCTTCTTTCTGCCCGAGAACAGATTTTCACATTTGTGGTGGATGCTACAATGCCAATTGTACAGGGATTATGATGTTCATCATCAGCACTACCACCACCAGACTGGTTAATATTTCCAGGTAACAGCGACTTAAGAGAGTGATGGGGCAGAGGAGAGATGGTGATGGAAGATATCCATTCTTTTTAAGCCTTAAGAAGTTGCTGTTCTAGCTTATCGGTTTGTACAGATGTCTATGGCTACAAATGCCAGGTTTAGCATTCTTTGAGGTTTGGCCTTAAGAAATATTGGTAGAGGCAAACTACAAGTATCATAATCTGCCAGACCTTCTGAGTGGGCCCTTCTTGCCTTACGTTAGTTTTCCACAAGGATCTGTATATAAACAGTCCTACTGGCTATGCCCACATTTTAATTTCAAATATGAAAACAGAGAAGTTCTTCCTTGGGGAACATGTTTATTGTGTTTGAGATGATACACTGGATGCTCTCTGAGCTACAAGGTGGGTGGCGATGAGAGGGGACAAGGATAAAAGAAATCCTTTTCATTACAAACTGACAAAGGTAAAAGTTTTAAACATTTTTCACAACAGCATGTACCACATATCGGAAATAGATCTGGGCTTAATACAAATGACGTAATTCCTAGTAATCTACAGCTACCTTTAATAACTTCATACAGATAATGAATTAGGCTAAAATGCACTATTATATTTGGTTGACTTCAGGAACAGTATCCTTAGTTACATCACAAAATACATTTTGATATCCCAAAGAAGCAAGACTTGCAAGTAGGCATTTTAAACATAACTAATCTACAGCTACAAAGTTCTACTCTTGACAGCATTTACCTTTTGGGGAGGTGGTTGGGGAGGGGAAGGAGGGAGAGAAAGCAGTATTCCAATCTTCAAAAGGATAAAAGCAGAGAGTAGAATCAGTATAACATATACACAGAAGTCCGTATTGTAAAGGCTATAAAGTTTGGTTGCACACTGCAAAGCTGCATCCCCGCACCTTCACACTGCGCCAAGCAGTCAACATCACTTATGTTGCGTATCTCTTGGTCCACTGTCTGGCTATCCTGTCATGTTCTGCTCTGTTGGTCAGGTACTGAGTGGCTATGCTTCCCACCAGAGGATCAGCTGCAAGAATTTGGGAAGGGACAACAGGAGAGAGGGAGGAAGGGAGACGACACATTAGGAGTCATGCCCTGATGAGCAAAGCTATGACGATTCATTTCACACATTGGCCAATTAAGACAGGGAAGAGCACCCAATGCCAGTATCACTTACCGGTTCTTAATTAATTAATCAATTAATATATATATATATAAGGCCACCCAACTCATGACTTTAATAAAATTAAAAACAGAACCCCAAACTGTACGTTAATTAAAAAAAAAAGTAAATCCAACCAACACATTTAACACAGTCCCATTCAGGCAGTCATACACCCCATCTGATCCATGGCATGGAGAAAAGACATGTCTTCAAGGCTCATTTATAGAATAGCAGGGTTGAGCCGTTCAAACCTCTGGAGGAATACCATGCCAGAGGGCAGGTGCTATGACAGAGAAGGCATGTCTTTTAGGTCCCATCAGACAGCATTGCTTAATAGAGGGGATCCAGAGCATGTTTTCTCTGTCAGATCTTATAGGATGAGCAGAAACAGAAATGCGGTCTCTCAGATAGCTAGGCCCTACACCATGAAGAGCTTTTTGGGTGACAACTAGCACCCTGTACGTAGAAGTTCGTTGATAAAAAAAAAAGAACAGCTTGTACAGCAAAGGTGTTGCGCATAGGCATACCAAGGGACTCCCACAACTGCCTGTATCACAGGATTTTGGACCAGCTGTAGCTTCTGAGTGGTCTTCAAGAGCAGCTCCATGTAGAGTGTGTCACAGTAGTCCACATGAAAGGCAACTAGGGCATCAGTCAACACCAAATGAAACTGGCCATGGAGAAAGGAGGAAGAGAACTCCCAATCCCTGAAAGCCGCCAAGAGATCAAGGAGCCCCAGGATGTCACAGTGCCTCCATCCCAGTTCTGCCAGAGGTCATCTACAAGTGCGAACAAGGATGTCTCCAAACTATATTCCTGAAACCTGACTGAAAAGGGTCCAGATAATCAGTTTTCTTCAAAGCCCTCTGAAACTGCAACCTGATCACCTTGCCAATGATTTTCCCCCAAAAAGGAAAATTGGAGACTGGACATAAAAGGCTTCTCAAGGCTTATGGAACCATTCCTCCACTTAAGGATGCATTTACCACCACATGGATCCAACTGCATGTCACCTCCTGGGAAGCCTTAACTTACCAGGAAGGACATGGATCTAAAGGACAGGTGGCTCGATTAACAACTCCAAGAACCCTGATCACTTTCTCAAGGGTTTTAGCATCAAACACTTCTCAGGTAAAAGGACAAAAGTGTGCCCTGGTCAACTTTTTTGGATTTGTCCAATCAAGTCTAATTCCAAGTGGATCCAAATGACTTTATCCATCAGATGCTTAGAATATTCCTCCACAGCATCTCTGAAGGTGTTCTTGTGCTCTCTCCCTGACCAGCAGGAAACAGTCATCTTAAAAAGGCCATTGGACAGCTATTTGTGGATTCAGTAAGAGTGGAAGAATAAGTACATTTTACTGCTCTGATCTCTACAATTTAATTGCCAATGTGGAGTCTTACACACATTCAGTTGAATTGTACTCTAGGCATCTCTTCTGTTACTTTATCTCCTGGAGCTCCTTGGCAAACAAGGACCCCACCCTACCCCTGAGACTGACTAACAAGGACATTCTGATCCAAGGCCCTTGAAACCCACCCATTGCAGATGGCAGCTAAGACTATGGTTGAAAAAAAAACAAGCTCCCTCTGAAATCCACCTGGTTCCATTAGTCATCTGGGTGGGCCAATCTAATAGGTCCATCCTCCCTGTGGAGGAGGAGGATAGCACTGTGAGCCAAAAAGTGATCAGAGAATGATCTGACCAGGACAAAAGACCAGTGGTAATGTCTTCCACTTTTAGATCACATTGCAACCAGCCTGAGACAGAAAACCAGATCTCATGTGTGACCACCTGCTTGTGTAGGGCCCTCAATGTTCTAGGATAGGTCCATGGTTGCCATGGTGGCAATGAATACCTGAGATGCTTGAAACTCCACATTATATGAGGACAAGTTAACGTCTCCAAGAAGTCTCAGTCTTAAAGACTCCATTGACAATGCAGCAATGGAATCAAGCAGCTCAAGCAGGGCTGCTGCTGTGCAGCAGAGGCCAATACAGTAGCCACAAACCCAGCTGCTCCCTTGAGCTCAGTGTCTTACATCCTGTTACCTGTGGCACAGTACCTCTGAAAACCCAGATAACCACTGTTACCCCTTCTGTCTTGGGGATGAAATTTGTGCCACACTTGAAACCCCAGATAGGCATATCTCTGAGAGAGGCACGTCCCTCTCTGGGTACACCCAAGTCTCAGTTATACATGCCAGGTTGGCACTTCATTCCCAATAAGGCGTGGAGGAGGGAAGTCTTCTTCAGACTGACCTGGCGTTCAGCAGCAGCACCAGCCGAAGGTCAGGGTCATTGAGGAACCAGCAAGCTGGCATCGGGGCTGAATCCAAGAATGGGAGGCAGCCTGAGTTTCAGATATCAATTCTACCTTTTCTGTGAGCAGCCTGCCCCCACCCCCCACCCCCACTTTCTCACCGTATCTCCTCCTGCTCATCATGTCCTAGATGTTACTCTCTGTCCTCTTTCCAGCATCAGTCCTCTCCCGGCCCCTGGATCCTGTCATCCTTCTCCCAGGTCCCAGGCTCTATCTAATCTAACCCACCATTCAATGGTCAATATCCCAGCCTCCCCCTTGCCCCCAATCTGCTTTTGCCTGCAGCACTCAGCAGCAGCAGCAGAGCACATAATTCTTAAGCAAGCCTATTGCAAAATCCAATCCAGGCAGAATGGCAAATCACATGACACTACTCTTCTTTTTTAGGTGAAGGTGGAACAACATCCTGGGTTAGACATGATTGCAGAAAAAGTGTCTCATTTTGTGGTGATTCCAGATTCCACTCCAGATTCTGGTTCCAGTGATCACCCCATTCAATCAGGTCTGAAGAAGTAGGTAGCAGGGTTAGGAGGTGGTGGGGAGGATATGGAAATACCACTTTCTCTTAACATATGTCTGGATCCAGCTCAGGTGCATTTTAACAAAAGCTCAGTGCCTGCTTTGCTAAGAAAGGGTTTTGGAGCAGAGAAATGTCAGGAAAGAGTGCTCAGCCTTTTCTTGCCTGCTCAACTCCAGCCTGTGCAATGTCTCAACTGGATGTTTCTTGAACATGCTTCTGGAACTTGGTGAAATGACCTACTTGTGAAAGGAGGATTACTGTACTTTGGAATGAAGAAATAGTAAATGAGGAAAAAACCCTTTGCTACTTAAAACTGCTCTGCTAACATTGTCTAGCTTTTCCTTGGCAAAAGCATCTGTCAGGTGTTTATGATATCCATACAGACTTTTAACTCCCTGTCTGAAATGGTACAGTCCCAACAAATTATTATTTGTTACAATCACTCTGTAAGCCCAACTGACTGAAATGCATTTCTCTTCCACGTAAATATGCTTAACCCTGAAGCCGTAGCCACAAAATGACACCTGTAATTTTAGGAGGATGTGCTCATGGCCAGCTGAATACAGAGGCTTTCACTCTCCTAAGCTTTTCTTAAATTGGAACAGTTAGAAAAGTTTGCTTCTGCATTTGTTCTAAAAGAGGGGAAACAGCTATTTCAGATGCTCAGAGAATTCTTCTGTAGCCACAGCAATACGGAAGTCTATTTGAAAAGCTCTGCCACTCTGTTCCTGACAAAATTGGCTAAGTGCTTTTTCATATTCTGATAGTTATAGTGGCTGCACTAAACTAATTTGTATAATAGCAAACATTTGTTAAATGTTTTACATTTTAAGGTGTTATATAGTTTTGGGCCC